TCTCTTAATTTACGGAGTTTAAAAAAGCTCGGAAATCACGGGACCGAGGATCGATTTTTGCCACCACTGATCCACCTCACTTTATGTGAGATACATGATATTTCTGGGACGCGCATGGGTGTTATTTAGAAATCCATTTATGCAACTTCTAGAGGACTCGATTTTCTAAGTAGTGCCCATGCCCGTTATTTCGCGACAACACAGTAGGTAAATTTCATCCTCCTTATGCACATCATGCATATATCAAATAGCCATTTACCTAAGTTTTCCATTGGTTTGTCATTGAGTGTCGGAATTTGTTTCTCTTGCTCCGCTGCAGTTTTAAGCATTTAACATTTCACATGCATCTTTCTATCACTTACTAGATTGGAGCGTAACACAAATTGCATTATAATTATCATTATAGTACGTACTTGAAGTTAGGGATGTTAAAAGTTCGGTTCGGTCCGACTCGACTCCAAAAGTCGAGTTTTAAATTTGACTCGGTTCCGCGGGACCGACTTGTTATTTCATGTGGCATTTGGTCACAACACATGATATTACCAATAGTATTCCGGTATTCAACTTAAGTTATCAATTAGCCCTCACTTACTATAACGGGAGTGGTTTGTGTATAACGCTGCACATGACCATTGGAACTCGGTCCTAAAAGGTTCCTCAAGTCTAGAGCCGACTCAAAAAAGCTCGGTTCAAGTCAACTCAAAAGACCGACTCGAACCGAACTTTTAACATCCCTATATGTAATTACTACGTCGTTACTATGCAGTTACTGCATGTTAAGATATATAAGTTTCTGTAAAGTATCTTACCATCAAAAATTTACATGCTGCAACTTTGTTTTTTAATGGTTTATCGTGATTTAAGATCTGTTGTTAATAAAGAAGCACCATAAACCTTATGGGAAAATGTTGGGAGAGAAACGTCCAACAGCAAAGATCTTTGTGAAGTATTTGAGGAATGAAAACGTTTTATTAGAATTAAAATGAATCCAAAGCAATACTTGAGAATATCGAAGAATCGTACTATGAGAATATATTCAAAGGTGGAAGAAAGTTCATCAACACGCGTGAAATTACTGAAAAGTTATCTGAAATGACTTCAGTTGGCAAGAAATTGAACTTCTAGATGTTCCGGATGAATTTTGAACTTTTGTTTTTAAAAAAAAGATTTTATGTATATCATAGGTTATTTCGTATTTTACCTTAAATATTACTGGATTTAAACTAATTTTTATATTTTTATATGATTTAATGTTAAAAAACATACCATTATCTATAAGTTTAATCCAAACCTAACAATAGTTTAGTAGACATTGAATATATTCTAAGTTTACTATAATTTTGAAATTTGCTAAAGTTGAAATTATCGACTAGGGATGACAATGTTTTAAACCATTAAAACGCATGATTAAAATTTATTAAAAATACATTTATGAGTAAAAAAATAAATTTTTACAATGTCTTATGAAAATTCCTCTTGAAAAAAATTCATTTGAACTTTACAAAAATTACTGATAAATGTCAAAAATGTGCTGTTCAAAAAAAATCGCAAATACCTCAAAAATTTTGACTATGAAATCATCTTTTAGCATCCTAACAAAAAAATATCCTTACTAAATTTTGGTATAAACTATGCCCCGCCTCAACCTTAACCTCACGCTAACCCTAACCATAACCGTGAGGTTTTACATCAGTTTATAAAAAAAATAGTTTGATACAGTTGAACTCGCTAACAACTATTTCACCAACTATACATCTATACATGAGTGTCTAAATTATTTTTGAAAAATTGCATTCAGCATTGCCAAATTTTTTATATGAAACCCTTCGAAATAACTATACTGTATAGTGTATTTTGATGAAAAGAGTTCAAAAAATTTCGGCAATAATTTCGGCAAATATGAAAATTAATTTCGGCACTATAT